ATTAAACTAATCAGATGCTAAGCCAATCAGTTGTTGATCTGATCAATCTGTAATCAGCAGTCCAACTTAAGCATCACAAGGTGGGACAGAGTAATTCCTGTGGGCAGGGCTATTGCTTCCCTCAGGCCGATGCCACTTGGAGAAGAGTGCTTTGCTGAGAAAGATGGCTTCTGCAGTATGAGGAATAACTCAGCATAGGGATTCTGGTGGCTGTTACTTCAGTTCTCTTCCCCAGAGCCACCAGCCTTAGACTCTTCTCCAGCATCTCTAGTCCACTTTGCCTTCCCTCTGCTGGAGCCCAGGGTAATGAAATTTTGTGTGTTGGTCCTTTAAGAGGCTCTCTGCATCTCCAGCCATTTCTCCCTGGAAGACAGAAACCCTGCTGCTTTTCACAGCTGGTTGTTATCTGGGTTGCTTCCTGGCTGTAGTGATATACACTGGGGAGCCCTGCTTGGGGTTTAGACCCCACACTTCCCTGAGGGAAACCCCACCTGCTGAAATATCCCTCTGGGACTTCAGCTGCTGTCCGTGGGGGGCACCGCCAACCCTCTCATGCCTCCTCCACACTCCCTACCATTCTTGTTGTGGTGAAGAGGTTTCTTCTCTCTGTCCTTAGTTATAAGGCTTCTCTCCAGCTAGTGTTTAGCTGGTAATTCTGGAAAATTTCTCTACAATTTAGTTGTAATTCAAGATTGGTCCTGGGAGGAGGTTAGTGTAGCTTCCACTTACTCCTCTGCCATCTTGGATCTCCTTTATCTGTTTTTGAGGCTGGGGTAATACTGACCTCACAGAATGAACTGTTTCTTTTTAAATGACTTATTTTTCATATCGTAAAAATAAGAAAATATGGAAACGTATAACTAAAATTAAAATTATTCATAATCCCACTATGTAGAGGTAAGCACTATTAATCTTTAGGTGAATTTCCTTTCCATTTTTTGTATGCTTATACATGTTAAAATACAAAATTGGCATCATGCTCTGTATGGAGCTTGGTATGCTGTTTTGCTTTCTTTTATGTTAAAATTACATTTGTGAGCTACAATGGAATATTATCAGGCATAGAGAGGAATGAGGCACTGATACATTCTACAAGATGGATGAACCTCAAAACATAATGCTGAGTGAAAAAGCCAAACACAAAAGGTCATATATTGTATGATTCCATTTATATGAAATATTTATAATAAGTAAATCCATAGAGGCAGAATGAAAATTAGTGGTTGCTAGGGGCTGGAGCGTATGTGTGTTTGGGGACTGGGGGGACTGTGGAATGCTTAATGGGTACAGAGTTTCTTTTTTGGGTGATGATAATGTTTGGAACTAGAAAGAGGTGGTGATTGCACAACATTGTGAATATACCTAATGCCAATTAAATAATCATTTTAAAAATGGTTATCTTTATGTTATGCAAATTTTAACTCAATAAAAAATTACATTTGTGAGCATTACTAGGTGTGATTTAAAGCTTTTTAAAAGTGTGATTTTAAAATATTTTATTAGATTTAAAAAATTTATATATGAACATATTTGTTTGTGATGAAGTGTAGTGATAGTTAAGGTTTATGTACAAATCTCAGAATACCACAATGACTTCTCCATAGCTACAAAATATTTCATTAGCTATATGCCTTATTTTATTGTATATCTAACTCTTCTAAAGTTTTTATTATTATAGTTTTTGCTATAGTGAATAACCTTAGTATTGTTTCTTAGAAGCGAGTTATTATTTCCTGAGCTTTATAAGATACTATAGGAGAATATCTTCATGCTTTTGGGGTAGAGAAAAATTTATTAAGCTAAACACTAAGAAAGCCCCACAAAATTAATGCATAAATTGAACTATATTCAAATTTATATGTTCTGTTCATCAAAGTATCATTGCAAGAGTGAAGTAGCAAGATACAGAGTAAGAGATAATGTTTACAAAACATATACAGTGATCCTTGAACAACATGTATTTGAACTGCATAGTTCCACTTATATGTAAGTTTTTTTCAATATGCACAGTACTGTAAGTATATTCCCTCTTCTTTATGGTTTTCTTTTTTTTACTTAAATAATTTTTATTTTTCAATTACAGTTAACATAACAATATTATATTAGTTTCAGGTGTACAACCCAGTGATTACATATTATATAACTTACTAAGTGGTGATCCCCATAAATCTAATACCCATCTGATACCATATATAGTTATTACAATATTTTGTAAAATTTTATTTATTTTTAGAGAGGAAGGGAGGGAGAAAGAGAGGGAGAGAAACATCAATGTAGTTGGCTCTCACGTGGCCCCCACTGGGGACCCACCCACAACCCAGGCATGTGCCCTGGTTGGGAATCGAACTGGCAACCCTTTGGTTCACAGGCTGGCACCCAATCCACTGAGCCCCACTAGCCAGGGCATATATGTGGATTTTTGACTGTACAGGGGGTTGGTGCCCCTAACCTCCATGTTATTCAAAAATTGACTGTGATTAGTAAATGGCTTGGATCCAGAATATATAAAGAACTTCTATAAATTCATAAGAAAGAAAACTGAATAATAGTGAAAATATTATATATAAAAATTTGTGAGTGTAACTAAGGTAGCACTTAGAGGGAAAGTTATAGCATTAAATGTATATATTTAAAAAGAAAAATTGTTGAAAATATGAGCCAATGATGCATTTCAGGAAGTTATATTCAAATAAAGTAGAAAAATACATATAAGAGAATAAATTAGTGAAAGAGTCAAACATATAGTAGAGAGAATTTTTAATACCAAGCTTTGTTCTTCAAAAAGAATAATGAAATTGATAAAACTCTGATGAGAATAATAAAGAAAAAAAAGAGGATGAACAGAAGTTAACCGCGAGAATGAAGAAGGGGACATTACTAGATGTCCTGTGGGCATCTAAAAGATACTAAGACGAGATTATGAACAACTTAATGCCAATAAGTGTAAGAAGTTTAGATGAAATGGAAAAATCTCAAGAAATAATAATTTACCAAAATTGATTCATGAAGAAATGGAAAAATTTGAATAGTTCCATAATAATTATAGAAACTGAATCAGTAATTTAAAATCTTCCAACAGAGAAATGTTGAATTATATTGAACATTTGAGGAAAATAAAAACCCATTCATATATAAACTCTTCTAGAAGTTTAGAAGTTTTTACTCCCAAAGAACCAAAGTTATCCTTCTTAATTCATTTCATGAAATTAGTATGTCACTCGCCCCCCAAATCTGACAGGGTCAATATAGGAAAATTAAAGTCCAATCTCACACATGAACATAGATATAAAAACTCTAAATAAAGTATTATTAAACAAAATTTAGCATTCTATAGGAAGGATAGTGCATATGACCAAGTTATAATTAATTCTAGGAATGTAATTTTGTTTAATTCTCCAAATCCAGTTAATATAATTTATCACATTGACAGGTTTGAAGAAGGAAAATCTTATGATTATCTCACTGAATGTAGAGAAAGCACTTGATAAAATTGAACTCCCCTTGAACAAAATGGATAAGTAATTTGCCCAACTGGAACTTCCTTAATTTTATAAAGGCTATGTTTAAAAAAAAATAGCTAACACAAGCATCAAACTTAGTGGTGAAACATTATAAGTTTTTCCTTTGAAAACTGAAATAAAACAAAGATACCCATTATTACCACTTTTATTCACCATTAAACTGGAGGTTTTTAGCCAGCACAGTGAAGAAAAAAGAGAAATTAGGGTTGGAAAAAAAAAAAAGGAAACAAAACTGCCATTAGTTATAGATGATAGATTACAGAGGAAATAAAAAATAATCTAAAGATAATTAGAATTATTAAAAGGGTTCAGCGAGTTTCCTGGACTTAAAGAAAATCAATAAAGAAAAATCAATGTATTTAACAGCAACAAAAAGAAAATTATATTTTTAAAAGGTAACATTTGTAATATTCAAAAATACCAAATCACTCAGAATAAATCTAATGAAAATTGAGTAAGTCTCCAATACAAAAAAAAATAAAAATAAAAATTGAAAGCATTATGACAGAAATTAAAGTAAATAATGAGACTAATAAAATAAATGGAGATAAGGTATTCATGGATTGGTAGACTCGATACTACAAAGATTGTCAGTTTTTCCAAAGTAATCTATAGGTTCAGTTTTATTTCTGATAAAAACTCAGAATTTTTTGTGACACTTGACAAGATGATTCTTAAATTTATATGAACATACAAAAGGCCAAGAATAACTAAGCTACACTTACAGGAAGAATGAGGTTAGAGGAATTGCTATTCCAGAGTACTCTAAAGCTATAGTAATTAAGAGAGTGTGGCAATATTTGGGAATAGACATTTCAATGGACTAGAGATAAGTCTACAAAAACAGACCTACACATATCTACACACTTGATTTCAGACAGAGATGACAATATATAGCAGTGGCAAAAAGACAGTCTCTTGATAAACTTGGTTGGAATAATTAGGTATCCATATGAGGAAAGAATGAAATTGGACCCCTACCTCACACCATACATCGAAATCAACTCCAGGGGCACGTGGACCTATACCTAAAAGGCAAAACTGTGAAGTTTTGTAACAATAATATAGAAGAGTATCTTCATAATCTTGGGTAAAGAAAATTTTCTCAAAGCCCAAAAAGCAATACCATGAAGGAAAGGTGGACAAAATGAAGAATCTCTATTTATGAAAAGACAACAAAAGAGCAAACTACAGAGTAGCAGAAGATAATTCAATAGGTAAGACTAACAAAGGGTTTTTACCCAGAATATTCACAGAACTCATAAAAATTAATTTTAAAAGACAATACTATAGAAAAAATAGGCAATCCAAAGTCATCAAGTTGCATATATTTAATATTACAGCTTTTTCTATGTCAATCATACCTCAAGAAAGTGTTTTTTAAAGTGGTTTTTAAATAAATAAACAAATACATAAATAAATAATCTGGTGAAAAGAAAAAGGAAAATGGGCAAAAATAGTTAAAAAAAAAGTAACCCCATTGCTTCTCATCCTTTGGGCTAAGATCAAGTGTAGTATCTGTTCTTATCAGTTTAATATCTGATATGTTCTCTGTCTGAGGACATTATATAAAGTGAATTTTTGGAGCTGGGAGATAGAATAGAAGTTTGCTCTGTCCACTCTGTTCATCGACCCAGTATTGCAGTACTTCCAGGAATGGTGCACCCAAAAAAAGTAACCCAAAGGACAATCAGATAAAAAAGCTGCCTGACTTCTTTGGTAATCAGGGAGATATAAATTAAAATCATGATGAGGTAACACTACACACTTATTAAATTGACTAGAATTTAAAAGCCCAATACCAGATATTAGCAAAAAAATTTATCCATATAAACTCACACAAACTTGTACAACTACCTGGAAAAACAGTTCAGCATTATCCAATTAAACTGAAATTAATATACTCTATGACCCAGCAATCCTATTCCTAGACAAATACTTTACAGAAAAGAGTGCCTATAGGATAGAAAACATGAACAAGAATGACCATAAAAGCTTTGCTTGAATAGCCCTTGTTATAGGTCAGGTTCCCAGGAAACAGATGCTGAAATGGAGTTTGGGATACAAGATATTTATGAGGGATGCGAGGGACTGACAGCTATGAAAGGCAGGGAGAGGAAGTAGTGCTGAGCAAAAGTCGAACTGTGATACAGATTCAACTAAGTTTAGGCCACCTTGGCAGGGAACTCTGGAGCAAATACCGTGTGTCTGAATGGTCCCGTTTCAGCTGAAAATGGTCTAGCCTCTCAGTTCTTGCTTTGTTCAGTCACGGGATGCAAGCTGCTCTGGGAAAAGGGGCAAAGCAGCTCAGGTGGGCCCTGAAGAAGCTATCAGCTGCAGGTTTCTTTTGACCACACTGCCTGCAACTGGACAGCACATCCTTCCTGGAGGGGGATCAGGGTGGCACATCTTTGCATCTGCCACAAGCCCAAACTGGCGACAACCCCGATGTCTACCAGCTGAAGAACGGTTAAACTCTGCTCTGTTCATGTGACATTACCATAATGCCCGTTTCCTCATGCACCTCTGTGATCTATCCCTCCAGGGGCAACCACTGATCTTGTTCATACTTGATTTGGTCAGGTTTTAAATTCTAGTCCTTCTGGTTGGGTGTGCAGTTTTAATTTGTATTTCCCTAGTGACAAATGATGTTGAGCATCTTCTCAGGGATTTGTTATCTAAATATCTTCTTTTGTGAAGTCTTCTTCAAGTCCTTTGCCAATTTTCAAATTGTGTTGTATATAATTTTTGTATAATATTTGCATGTGTAATTTTGTAGGTGGCTCATACATATAGGCCTATCATCCATATCGTTAATTTTTGTATATGGTATATGGTGCAAAAGTCGAAGGTCATTATGTTGCATAAGGCTATCCAATAGCTCCAGCACCATTTGTTGGAAAGATCGATTTTCCCCCATTGAATTGCCTTGGTACTGTTTGTTGAAAATCCACTGATCATATACGTGTGGGTCTATTTCTATTTTTACGCCAATATCACATTTTTTTACACTAGCTTTACAATTCACTTGAATTCATTTAGTATAAGATCTAAGGTACAGATCTGGATTTATTCTTTTCTCAAAAAGTTAACCAATTGTCCCTGGGGGGGAAAAATGTTTTTTATCTCTACTGTTTTAAGGACCAAGCTTATTATAGATAGATTTATTATGCCATATATGAGAGTCTTTCTGGGCAATCCTCTTTCATTGACGTGTCTGTGGTTTTAGTATCAGTTCTGTGGAGTATGCTTTGATTAATATTCCTACCTGGGACTGAAGAGAGAGCCCAGCGCTTCACTTTTTCTGGGAAGACCGCCCCTCCTCAGCCCTTCCGCAGGAGTGAAGGGGGCGCCTGACAAGTACTCTCTCCCCCACCCCCACCAACAGACCCCGCCTGGGCACCACCCTCTGCCGTGGGCCCCGCAGGCCTGCGCTCTTCAGGCCCTTAATCCCTGCTCAAATCAGACCCCACCCAAGGCCTCCCAATACTCAGAGTATCCCTCCGCCCAGGCCTCTAAGCCCCAGGCGGCCCCGTATTTTCCTTATTTGACCTCATGGCCCACCCTCCCGCTTGTCCAGAAATCTTTCACTGAACTCGGAAACTCGTGGTGTGGCGTCATCCATGAACTCCCCCATGTCCTCAGCCTCCTTCTGAGTGTCCCCTTTGCTCTCTGGCTCTAACAGGAAACTGTAAGAGCTCCGCTTCCCCTGCAGCCTCTCAAGCGAGTCCCTTGAATTTCTGGGTCCAGGGGTGGGCGGTGGGCATTTCGCTCCCCGGGACCACTTCTGTTCGCCGTCCTCCTTACAGACACCCGTGGCTGAATGCCATGAGATCAGACGTGACCTCCCTTTTTTTGCAGTGATTTATAGACCTCCTGTCACTTGCCCCCAGTCCTTGAAAATTTTAGATCCTGACCCACAGTAACCCTCTCCGAGGCTCTTCCTACCTTAGTTTTTTTTTATTTCATCATTCGTGTAGATGAAAAGTCCTCTCAGCCCCTTGGCCTCTTCTTCAGGATCTTGGCTTTTGCCGTATTTCAGTCTCTTGCTCCCATAGCCAGACTTCGAACTATTTAGTTGTTATCTGTCAATGCATTTCCTTCATCACCTCTATGTCTTGTATCTCGCTCTCCAAAAAAACACTGTCCCTCTCCCCAGCTGCCTCCTTCCAGTACCCCCACTCCAACAATTCTTTCTGGAACCTATTGATCCAAAAGAAAACCATCATCCCCAACCCCCTCCTGCCCTGTGCCCCACTTCCCTCTTTACTCAGCTCAGAATACAGGCACCTGGCAAAACCTCAACCCAGGTTTAAGTCAGCCTTCTACCCCTTCTATACTTGCACCCACAGTCTGCCCGAGACTGATGGAAAACCCACAATGGGCTGACCAGTCACACTCCACTGACAACCCCTTCCTAGTTTGCTAAAAAATAGAAGAGCCCTTCCACAACCTCCACTTCTCCTTCCCCCACCCACCTGCACCTGTGCCCCTCAGCTCCGCCTTCCATATCCCTAATACGGGCGAACCACTATGCTCCTGTTCAAGGACAGCCTCCCTTTTTTAAAAAAAGATTTTATTTATTTACTTTTAGAGAGAGGGGAAGGGAAGGAGAAAGAGAGGGGGAGATAAACATCGATGTGCGAGAGATACTTCCATCAGTTGCCTCCCACACGCCACCAACTGGGGAGCTGGCCAGCAACCCCACATGTGCCCTGGCCAGGAATCAGACTGGGGACCTTTCTGTTCGCAGGCCGGGGCTCAATCCACTGAGCCACACAAGCCAGGGCGAGCCCCCTTTTTTGTGTACAGATGCCATCCCCATTTATCTAATCAAGGCCTTCACTCCAATATTTATCCCCTTTCTCAGCCACATCATCAAAATTCCCCTCTCTTCAGGAGTGTTCCCATTGACGCATAAAGATGCTGTAATTCTTCCATCTTAAAGAGAAACCTCCTCTTGGCCTTATGTTCCCTCAGGCTCCCACCCAATTTCTGTGAGTCTCTTTATGGCACAGCTCCTGGAAGGAATGGACTCCTCTTGCCACCTTCACGTTTGTCCTTCCTCCTTTCTCCTTGCCGCTCTCACCAGGCTTAGGCTCCCACAGCTACAGCAAAACTGCCTCTGGCAAGGACTCGCCGTGCTGTTAAATCTCAGGCTTTGCCTCCCTTCCCTCCCCCTAAGCCCTAGCCCCTAAGAGCCTGTCTCCCAGATCACCGCCACCCTCTCCTGGTTCCCCTTCCACCTCCCTGGTTGCTCCTCCTCTGTCTCCTTTGCTGGCCACTCCTCTTCTCCAAGGCTCAGCCCTTGGACCTCTTTTCGCTTCTTAGCTACACTCACTCCCTTGGGAGTCTCCTCCAGTGTCCTGGCGTTAAATGCCATTCAGTTGCTGATGACTTCTGAATTCATACGCCTGGCCCAAGCCTTTTTCTGAATTCCAGCTCATTGTCTCCAGGCAGTGTCCTGAAGCTGAATCATGGCCACGCCACTTCAGTCAGGCCCAAGTTGCCAGTTCTCCCAGTCCATTCCTGGTCTGCTTCCCTGTAGACATCTGACCCTGAGCCCCAGTCGAAGGGATGAAAAGTAAGACTTTCCCTCTGCACAGGCTGTGGAGTGAGGGCAGCCGGAATGGGGCCCATGGCTCAGGGAATGAGGCGGGCTGGACACTGAACGTGTCTACCAGCCTGCCACGTTCAGAGTGGAGCAGTTCAGGGTGAAGCACTCCTGGGCGGGTCAAGCTGGCCACGGCGGCTGCATCTCACAGGCATACAGGTGCCTGCCCCTGTCTCATCGGCCTGCGCCGTGTCTCCTTCCTGCCTTCCTCCCTAGGTTCAGGGCACCGCCCTCAGGACACTGCCCAGCCAGCTTGTGGCCTCCACGCCGAGCTCGGATAGTCTCTCCTCTGGACTTCCTAGCTCTCTGACACCCCACAGGGACCAGGCCAAGTGGGGAGCTCTGCAAAATGCCTCGGAGTCCCTCTCCCACCTCCTCTGGATCCACTGCTCAGGGACCATACTTAGCCTGGGGAACCCACGTAGGCTGTCACTGGGGCTCTTGCCACCCGGCCCAGGACACACAAATGGGAAGCCAAGAGTCCTGTTTGCTGCAGCAGGGGACACCGAAGCCTCCTGAGGGGGCTTCTCAGCAGCAAATGTGACATAGGGCAGTCTTCTCCCCACACCACTCAAGGCTGCAATTTTGCAAACCAAGAATTAAAGGCTGGAATACGCAACGCCCTGCGGTCTTGCAAGTGGGAGGATCCTAAAGGAGGATCAGCTTCCCTTAGAAACCAGGCACATTGGCAGGCAGTACCCAGGTAAACAAGCCATCTCAGGGCAATGCTAGTCCGCTTTCTTCCTCTTCTTCGGAGCTTCCAGCCGTGTCTACATGGAATTATTAATCTCGTCCTGTGTGACCGTGTCACTTTTCTAGACAACCAGTTTATTCATGACTCGCCCACTATCAATTTCAACATGCAATTTGCAATGAAATTTGACTGATCAGCAATACCATAATTAGTTGCACATGTCTGTGCTTGTATTTGTTTGCCATAGGGTCTTTTTCATTAAAGTGACGGAGGCCAGTAAATGCCATGACCTTGTTCTGGGTCGTCAAATAGCAGCAGTTGTGTCTTGGGGCAGGGAAAGGCAGGCTGGTGAAGAGCTTGTG